TCAGCTTCTTAACTAAAGGCCTGACAGACAGTTCAGGTAGAAATCAAGTATCTACGAATCACCAACTACGCGAACGTTCATGTGACTGAGCTGTGACGGCAGAGGAGACGCTCCCAAACAGAAACGTCCCCGCAACTAAAACCGGGAAACATTATAACACTGCTCATATGTTTCAAGAAGACGTGACCTGAGACTGCACTGATGAGTTATCAATACTTCTTTTTCCCTTCATTTTTATTAATCATACTATACGTCTGATTATTGTTACTTTATAACTCAGTGGCATAGAACAGACAGCTGACTGATGACAGGACTAAAAACAGGGACAGATTACAATCGATGTAACTACACAGTTATTAGAACAGCAAACATAAAGATTACAAATATAATGTAATTGGATGACAACTGTAAGCTGTCAACAAAGTAAATAAATACTACTTTATAGCTGTTTACCCAGTGAGCTGTGAAACAGTGACGGAGGCGCCTGCAGACATCACTTTCTCTTGTTGAATAAGTGATGCAACAAAGAGTCCTACTGTGTCTCAGCAACAAGGCAGCAAATACAATTTGAATAAATAACAACATGTTATTAATATTATTATTAATACCACCATAGTAATATGGCTTAAGCGCAGCCTGTTACACACCAATATAAGTGCCCCCGCCCCTTCATTTCTCCTATTATTAAAAAAAGCAGTTTTAACTTTCAATTAATAACAAACACACGAGGAAACGTGTACAGTATTCAGTTTGTAGCATACCCCTCTGCTGCTCCATAGTGTAAACAGGATTCAACACCATACACAACTATTGTGTTAACGTGACCGTGCACAGGAGCTGGGTCAGATTAGGAAGTACTTTTTTTTTTAAGTATATATTTAAGATAAGAAAACGAAGCACAGACAACATGGACTGCAAACCATGTCAGTTGGTGTATAGAAAAACCAACTGACAAGGATTTTAAACAATAAATCCATAGTATTTGATGAGGCTATTGGAGTACTGTTTCAGCAATACTCGATAAGTAAAACTCACCAGTGTACAAAGTCACCTTGTCACATGTCAATAATAGCTCAGTTATAACTATTTCTTCTTATTATGAAGCCAACTTATGTTAGCGCTGTTTCACTTGACGGGCTGTTGCTCTTTCGACTTGGAGCACAACACAACTTAGCACTGTAACAACTCTGCCTGTTATCCCGGGATTAAACACCTGTCTACATCCCAATATTCACTGGACTAATCAGAAAACTTCATTCTAAAGGAAGGTGACAGTGACAGGTTCGGAGCTGATGGATGTCTCCCAAAAGTCGGCAGCGAAAGGCTGACTCCCGGGCGGAAGGAGCGGTAGCCAGCGTGCTAAGGGGCTGATTACAAATCCACTTGACTGATTGGCTAAGAGGCTAACAGCTATCTGGCCTGCCTACTGTCAGCTAACGATGTTGTTGCTCAGCTAACGTTAGCTAATCACGTTAACCTGAGCTAACAATGAGTCCATAGATCTTCAGCACAACTGACACGTACGGTGGTACCAAGCATCTAGCTAACAAGTCCATGCCTGTTTAACGGTACCAGCACCGGGGCACAGAGGGGGCAGCGTGATAAGCACAGGGTATTGACAGTTTATTGTCCTCTGTGTGTGTGTGTGTGTGTGTGTGTGTGTGTGTGTGTG